AACCACTGCTCAATGAAATAAGAGAGGACACAAACAGATGGAGAAACATTCCATGTTCATGGTTAGGAAGAATTAATATCGTGAAAATGGCTATACTGCCCAAAGTAATTTACAGAATCAACGCTATTTCTATCAAGCTACCATTGACTTTCTTCACAGAACTGGAGAAAACCACCATGAACTTCATATGGAACCAAAAGAGAGCCTGCATAGCCAAGTCAATTCTAAGCAAAAAGAACACAGTGGGAGGTATCACACTACCGGACTTCAAACTATGCTACAAGGCTACAGTAATCAAAACAGCATGGTACTGGTACCAAAACAGAGATATAGACCAATGGAACAGAACAGAGGCCTCAGAGGCAACACAACATATCTACAACCATACAATCTTTGATAAACCTGACAAAAACAAGCAATGGGGAAAGGATTCCCTGTTTAATAAATGGTATTGGGGAAACTGGCTAGCCATGTGCAGAAAGCAGAAACTGGACCCCTTCCTGATACCTTATACCAAAATTAACTCCAGATGGATTAAAGACTTAAACATAAGACCTGGCACCATAAAAACCCTAGAAGAAAATCTAGGCAAAACCATTCAGGACATACGAGTAGGCAATGACTTCATGACCAAAACACCAAAAGCATTGGCAACAAAAGCCAAAATAGACAAATGGGACCTAATCAAACTCCACAGCTTCTGCATGGCAAAAGAAACAGTCACTAGAGTGAATCATCAACCAATAGAATGGGAAAAAATTTTTGCAGTTTACCCATCTGACAAAGGGCTGATATCCAGAATTTACAAAGAACTCAAACAGATTTACAGGAAAAAAACAAACAAGCCCATTCAAAAATGGGCAAAGGAAATGAACAGACACTTTACAAAAGAAGACATACATGAGGCCAACAAACATATGAAAAATGCTCATCATCACTGGTCATTAGAGAGATGCAAATCAAAACCACACTGAGATACCATCTCACGCCAGTTAGAATGGCGATCATTAGAAAATCTGGAGACAACAGATGCTGGAGAGGATGTGGAGAAATAGGAACACTTTTACACTGTGGGTGGGAGTGTAAATTAGTTCAACCGTTGTGGAAGACAGTGTGGCGATTCCTCCAGGCCTTAGAAATAGAAATTCCATTTGACCCAGCAATCCCATTACTGGGTATATATCCAGAGGACTATAAATCGTTCTACTATAAGGACACATGCACACGAATGTTCATTGCAGCACTGTTTACAATAGGAAAGTCCTGGAACCAACCCAAATGCCCATCAATGATAGACTGGACAGGGAAAACGTGGCACATATACACCATGGAATATTATGCAGCAATCAAAAATGATGAGTTCGTGTTCTTTGTAGGGACATGGATGAATCTGGAGAACATCATTCTCAGCAAACTGACACATGAACAGAAAATGAAATACCACATATTCTCACTCATAGGCGGGTGAGGAAAAATGAGAACACATGGACACAGGGAAGGGGGTACTACACACTGGGGTGTATTGGGGCGAATATGGGAGGGACAGCAGCGGGGGGGACCTGGGGAGGGATAGCCTGGGGAGAAAGGCCAAATGTGGGTGAAGGGGAGGAAGGCAGCAAAACACACTGCCATGTGTGTACCTATGCAACTATCTTGCACGTTCTGCACATGTACCCCAAAATCCAAAATGCAATTAAAAAAAAATTTTTTTTTAAATTCTGAAATTTTCCTGAAAATAACTAGGAAACATATTCAAAGGCTTATAAAATTCTGAGTTTGTACAATGGCTGAACCGGTTACTATATTAATATTGTTTAATCTATTAGTACTAAAATATTTCTGATGATATCTAGAAATATCTTGAAAGTTTACAATTAAAAATCTTAAAATAATAATAAAACTGTGATGATGAGTAATATTTACTGAGCACTTCTATGAACCAAGCATGATATTAAGTTTTATTCATATCTCATTATATCTATGTAATGTTAGTATTATTATTTATTCTCATTTTAATCCAGTGATTTTGGGAGCTTAAATTGCTTAGTATTACACAGCTCGTAAGTGGTTGTATTAGGTTCCCTCTACCTCTCTCTCTCTATAAAATAAACTCTCTCTCTCTACATATATATATATGTAGATGTCTACATACATCTACATATATGTACATACATAGGCACATTTATCTACATATATACATTTATGTAGCTATGTATATATGTACATATAGGTATATAGACACACATGTATACATGCACGCACATATGCATATATGTACACACATGCACATATGTTTATATATACTCATATCTACATATATGTAGATATGAGTATAAATACATATATATGAGTATATGACTATATAGTTTTGTTGGATACAAAATTCTTGGCTGATAATTGTTTGTTTAAGGAGGCTAAAAACAGGACCCCAAACCTTTCTAGCTTGTACGGTTTTATTGCGGGAGGGGTTCTTAGATCTTTCACAAGAAATAATTCAGGGTGAGTCCTTACAGTGAAAGCAAGTTTATGAGGAAAATAACAAAAGAATGGCTACTCCATAGACAGCAGCCCTGGTTGTCCATTTTTATCGTTATTTCTTGATGATATGCTAAACAAGGGGTGGATTATTCATGGCTGCCCTTTTTAGACTATATTGGGTAACTTCCTGACAGCAGCCCTGGTTGTCCATTTTTATCGTTATTTCTTGATGATATGCTACACAAGGGGTGGATTATTCATGGCTGCCCTTTTTAGACTATATTGGGTAACTTCCTGATGTCATGGCATTTGTAAACTGTTGTGGCGCTGGTGGGAGTGTAGTAGTAAGGATGACCAGAGGTCACTCTTGTCACTATATTGGTTTTGGTGGGTTTTAGCCAGCTTGTTCACTGCAACCTGTTTTATCAGCAAGGTCTTTATGACCTGTATCTTGTGCTGACCTCCTGTCTCATCCTGTGGGTTAGAATGCCTTAACCATGTGGGAGTGCAGCACATTAAATCTCAGCCTCATTTTACCCAGCTCCTATTCAAGATGGAGTTGCTCTGGTTCACATGCCTCTGATAGTTTCTGCTCAGAGATGTGCTGTTACTCTGATAGGTTTTCTTTTATAGTTTGCCTGATACTTTTGCCTCACAGCTGTTAAGATTCTTTTTTTCATCTTGGCTTTGTATAATCTCTTGACTATGTGCCTAGGTGTTGAATTTCCCAGGTGTTCTTTGAGCTTCTTGTATTTGGATGTCTGGATCTAGTCAGGCCTGAGAAGTTTTCCTTGATTATTCCCTCAAATAATATTTCCAGACTTTTAGGTTTCGTTTTTTTCTTGGGAACACCAGTTATTCTTAGATTTGGACACTTAACATAGTCCCATACTTCTTGGATGCTTTGCTCATTTTAAAAAATTCTTTTTTCTTTGATGAATTGGGTAAACTTCAAGTTCTGAAGCTCTTTCTTCTGCTTGTTTGATTCTGTTGCTGAGACTTTCGAGTTCATTTTGCACTTCTCAGGTGTTCCTTTGATTTCTAGAAGTTGTAATTGTTTTTATTTATGCTATCTCACTGAAGACTTTTCTTTTCATATTCTTTATCATGTTTTTTATTTCTTTAAGTTGGAGTTGACCTTTCTCTGGGGCCTCCTTGATTAGCTTAATGATTAACCTGAATTCTTTTTCTAGCAATCAAGATATTTTGTCTTGGTTTGGATCCATTGCTGGTGAGGTGGTGTGATCTTTGGGGGTGTTAAAGAACCTTGTTTTGTCGTATTACCAGAATTGTTTTTCTGGTCCCTTCTCATTTGGGTACTGTATGTAAGAGGGGAGATCTGGGATTCAAAGGCTGCCGTTCAGATACTTTTGTTCCAAGGGGTGCTCCCTCTTCCCCTAGGGTTGCAGCTTCCTGAGAGCCAAACTGCAGTGATTGTTTTTACTCTTCTGGGTCTAGTCACCCAGTGGAGCTACTGGGCTCTGTGCTGATACTAGGGAGTGTCTGCTAAGAGTCCTGTGATCTGATGGAACTAGCAGGGGCGTGAAGTGGACTCTGCTAGGGTCCTTGGTTGTATTTTTATTTAATGTGCTGGTTTTGTTTTGGTTGGCCTTGAGCAGGAGGTGGTGCTTTTAAGAACACATCAGCAGTGGTCCTATAGGGAGGAAAGCAAACTTGCCCAGGGTCGCCTGGTTACATATTCAGGTTTCTCAGTTGATGGGCAGGGCCATAGAACTCCCAAGAGATTATGGCCTTTGTTGTTGGCAACCTGGATTGGTGAAGAAAAACCACGAGATGGAGGCAGGGATACGTGTGTCTGAGCCCAGATTCTCCTTGGTCAGGGCTTGGGCTGCTGTTGGGGATGCAGGTGTGGTTCTCAGTTCAATGGAATTATGTTCCCAGGGGGATTATGGCTGCTCCTACTGGGTCACACAGGTTGCCAGCGAAGTGGGGGAAAGCTGGCAGTCACAGGCTTCATCCCGCTCCTATGCAACCCATAGTCCTAAATGCTGGTCTCATTCCCACTGTGCCCCCACAACAGCACAGTCTGTTTCCAGGCAGCTGGTGACTGCCACTGAGAACTTGCCCCAGACCATCAGCCTCCCTGCTGAACAAGGGGACTCACATTTTTTCAGAGCCTTAGGGATCCTACAGTGGCAATACAGTTCCTTCAAAGAATGTGTGGATTCTCTCAGTTTACCTGGATGTTGCTGTGTTCTTGGATCAAAAGTTGACAGTGTGAGTCTCCACACATTGCTCTGTCTGTCCCATCGGGAGTTGCAAGCTAGTCCTGCCTCTTCTCTGCCATCTTCTGTCAGACCAAAGGATGTTAGTTTTTGTGTAAGTAAGTGAAGGTTAAAAAGGATGTTCATCAATGTGAAAATCAAAATCTTAAGGGATTGTACAGAACGGAGTTAGCAGGACATACTGGTGTCCATATGTTGACTTAATGTTTTCTTTCTTCAGCTGTGTGGTATGTTTCCCGCTCATTTCTTAATGCAGAATAATTTTTGTTTCCACAGGAAGGAAAAGCTGATGCGATGTTCTCAATGCCGCGTCGCAAAATACTGTAGTTCTAAGTGTCAGGTAAGACTTTTCAGCTATACATGTAAGTGAAGCTTTCACATTCTTTACTCTTAAATTCGTCCTTCGTTATACCTGTTGGCCTATGTCTATTTCTTTACAACCTCTAACTTATTTTTACTTGTTATTCACCTGCTAAGTCACACAGGTTGCCAGGGATGTTAAAATGTTTAATGTTAAACATATATGGTTAAAAATTGAGTGTGTGTGTATAGTCTATTATGCGAAAGTAAATGTCTGTTTCTCCCTGTCTTACTGCCCCGTGACTTCAATTCTCATTTCCACAATCACTGTTAAGTTTCTCATGTGTCCTTGCAGCATTTGCTTGTGCAAACATATCTGTATATTTATATCCGATGTTTAAAAAAACAAATACAGGTTAATCTGGTGCAAATTCTCATGTACGTTGGTTTTGTTTTCATTTAACAATAATATTTAGAGCAACATTTTGTATCCCATATGTTTCATTATATGAATTGACCATAATAATTTCTCCGTTAATGAATGCTTAAAATTTTTCTAATATTTGGTATTGCCAGTAATGCACCTAGCATCCTATTTTGCACATTTTTGTACACTTCTGCAAATTAATAGTCAGGTAGATTCTTATTGTATTGATTGTTGAGAGGATTTATGCTTTTTGAATTTTTAAAGATAATGCCAAATTTTCTGCTAAGAGTTTTAGTTAATTTACGAGTCCTGTTGTTAACATCTTTGAAATTCTTGAAAGGATGTATAATTAACATTCAACATGCCCTTTTCTTGTAACCTTATGATTAATCATTTAATAAGAAATGTCATTATGCACTAATGAGTTACATCTTATTAAAAAGTCTAATTAGAGGTTTTGTGTCTGTGTCACTTGCCTCCTCCCTGCCACCCTCCATTCATCCTTTGTGTTTCTTGTTTTTTGTGTATGCACACACATATCCAAAGTCGCTTCTTTTAAATTTAGAACAGGCTTGTCTCAGGGATTTTCTTCTCTCTCATTTTCTCCTTTGAAAGCAATTTCTTGAGACTGCAACAAAAGTGGTTTTAATGGAAAAGAAATCAAATGTTGAAAAATATCGGGGGTTCCAGGTTCTCATGCTAATTCTGACATTTGCTGGTTAAATTATCTCAGAGAAAACACAGACTATCTGGGCCTCAGTTTCTGAATCTGTGCTAATTATAAGAGTTAGTATTTATTAGGCATCCACTGTGTGCCAGGAAGTGTATTATTCCATTTGATTTTGCAAGAGTCTTGTGAGAATTAGGTACTATTATTATGCTTATTTTATTAATAAGGAAAATGAGGAGAGAGAGGCAGCCAACTTGCCAAATATTCTATAACTAGTAGGCTCTGATGTTTCAGAAATGAAACCTGGATATTCAGACTTTTAACTGCACTTTTAAACCTAAATTTTGTTCTTGCTCTAATGTTCTGATTAGGTCTAATTTTCCAATATATGTTGTATTATTCTTTTGTTTCTTGGCTTTGGGATTTTTGTGGAGACAGCCTTGCTTTGTCTGTTGGACTGGAGTGCAGTGGTGTTATCAAGTTTACTGCAGCCTTGAAATCCTGGCTTCAAGTGATCTCCCTGCCTCTGCTTCCTGAGCATCTGGGATTATAGGTACACGCCATCACACCCAGCTAATTATAAAACTGTTTTTAATGGAGATGAGTTCTCACTATTTGCCCAGGCTGGTGTTAAACTCCTGAGCTCTAGTTATCCTCCTGCTTTGGCCTCCCGAAGTGCTGGGATTACAGGTATCAGCCACTGTGTCCAGCCAGTATAATACTTTCTAACTAAAATAGGATAGGAAAATTTTAAACACTTGTATTATTTCCACCTCATTTTTTAAACAAAAATTTCGTCGAACCTAGAAAGATCCCTGATTTATGTAAGAATGTTACGAACAACAATAACGAAATGCAAAATGTGGAACGTTAATACTGCTTTTAATATAGTATCAGTTCCAGAAACATTGTTTTATGACATGTTCTAGGTGTTTTGTTCATGTGAAACTGAGCTATTTGTTTCTAGGAACTTCAGATTAAACAGAAAACATAGAGAAGTGACAAATTATCATATTATTTGACACAAATCTAGGCAAACTTGCTTTCTGATCTCAATGACCTAAACAGTTTATTAATAAAACATTTAATAAGCAGTTTACTTAATATAACATTTTATTTTTCCCTGTTTTACCGTTATTTTTCCTCTAGTGCAACCGCATCCTTTTGTAGTACACTCAAGAAAAAAAGCTATTATTTGATTAGAATGAGTAGCAAGAGTTTGGTGGGTAGATATGTCATTTTGATTCATTGTAGTGCATGTGTTTTTACTACATATATTAGCTGTTCACTGTAGCATCGATAATAATGTCACCGTCAGATATACTGTGGAAGGTAATGGGAAAATAGCCAGTAGGATGAGGATATATGTAATAGCTAGAGTATGTGTTTGTATGTGTGTGGAGGGGGAGTTAAAGGTTGTCCAGAACACATGCATTTAAACTGCTGTGTTTATCTCAACCTTAAAATATAGCATTAAACATTGTAATTACTGTGACTATCCACAAAGCTGTGCAAAATTAAATGACAGAGTGAACTGTGAGCAGTAATGAACAGAATGCAAAAGCACTTGGAATGGAAATTGATACAGACGATGTAAATCTGTGGTATAAAATCTATAATATGTATACCCCAGGGGAACAGGATTTTGGTTCACTAGCTTAGCATGTGATGCATGGGACCATGCCATCCAGTTGTCTGACAGAGGCTACTGGGGTATCACAGAGTGTAACATGTCTCTTGTTACCCACAGGATGATGTGTCAGTGCTACCGGTATTCACATTTCTTTCCTTTTTTTTTTGGAGACAGTCTTACTCTGTCACCAGGTTGGAGTCCAGCGGTGCAATCTCAGCTCACTGCAACCTCCACCTCCCGGGTTCAAGCAATTCTCGTGCCTCAGCCTCCTGAGTAGCTGGGACTACAGGTGTGCGTTACCATACCCAGCTATTTTTTGTTGTTGTTGTTATTGGTATTTTAGTATAGATGGGATTTCACCAAGTTTCCCAGGCTGGTCTCGAACTCCTGAGCTCAGCCAATCCACCCTCCTTGGCTTCTCAAAGTGCTGGGATTACAGGCATGAGCCACAGCACCTGGCACACATTTCATTTTTAAGCATAAGTAATACAAGGATCTGTTTTTATTATAAAAATTAACACCATATAAAGTCATATAGAGTAAAACATAAACGTCTTTTTCCAGCTTCCTTCCCCCACTGCTACTTCTGTTTTTCAGAGATAATCTATTTGTGTCTATTTTATGGATGGAGGATATACACCAAACTATTGGTCTATACATCCTATATGGTGTACGCATATACGTATGTATTTACCTCTGTGTACAGTACTGTTTCTGTTACTGGTCAAAATGTTTTTGTCGTCAGTGGCTTTATATTCCTGTCTATACCTTATTATGAGGTGGCTATCATATAATTTAATAGAAGGAGGTCCAGTTTTTTTTCTTTATTGGCGTAAATAGAACATCACACATGATTATCAGATCGAAGAGGAGGAGCAGGCTACATTTTTTTTGTAATAAAAAAGCATTTTCAAAATAAAAGATGGAAACAATAGTGATAGCAGATAAGTAAATTTCAAGTAAGTCATCAAGTATTAATTTACCTTTTCAGGATTTAATTTGATTTATAATATATACATTTCTAATTGAATGAATTAAGTGCTGAGCAAAATAAGCAGTTAGGCACTACATCAAATTGTAATTTATATACTTTTTAAAAGCACTCTATTAGCAGATACAAATTCTATTTTGTATTTATAATCATAGACCTCTTTAAAAATGTGAATCATGTTTTTGGGTTTACATTTTATGCTTAGTTGTAGAATGATTTGATTCAGTTTTGATGGGCAGAAAATTAATTCCACTTTAGTAAGCACTTAATAGAGCGATTTAATAAGTTGGTTTCTAGACTAGCATACCCAAAGCAGTGATAATGAAGGAAGTCAAGTTTTGTTTATTTTATAAATGTTCTGTGCCAGGCCTCAAACTGATAGACTGTGAATGGAATGTACTGTAGGTAAGTCAGCTTTGTATCTAACTGTAAACACAAAGGGAATGCTACAGAAAGTTTAAAATGATTTGGTTGTATTTAAGTTTTTGACTTCCACAAGTGTCTGGAGGCTGGAAGTTTTCCTTTTCTCACTTTACCTTTGCCTGCTGAGTGATCTTATCTACTCCCATGACTTCAAGTGGCATCTGTATATTAATCATTCTCAAGACGCCATCTCCGGCCTCCTTCATCCTGATTTCCACGTGGCTGTTCCACTGGTGTCTCTGGTGTAATGTATCTAAATTAGAGTACATTATCTTCCCCCAGACCCACTTCCATTCATGTTTTCCAATTCGGTGAACAGTCTCTCCAGTCGCCCAGCAGTCTGAGTTGCCAGGTGCCATCTCTGATTCTCATCCTTTCTTGGCCACACATCATTTAATCATTATGTCCTGCTGATTTTACCACCTAAAAATGTGAATTGGTTCTCTGCTCGCCAGCTTCTCTAGTATTACCTGTCACCATGATCTCTTTTCTGGATTAGCTGCGTTGTTACTATGATTCTTTCCAACTTCTAAATTATTTTCTACGCAGGAGTTAGAGTGATTATTTATGCTCTAAGTTCTGGGGGTTGGTATAAGTAGTAGGCAGTGAGCAAGTAAATAAGATCCTGACTTTGGTAAAACATCTGTTATAGGGTAGAGAGATAGTGACCCATGCCCATGATTATATGATTGAATGTGATTGGGGTGAGCACAAACTCACCTGTGAGCAGGTGTATACAGAAGGGTTTCCTGTAGAAGTGACATTTAACCTGAAATCTAGAGTGAATGTAGCTGTTTCTGCTTTTCTTTTGATTAGTGTTAGCATGGTATGTTTTTCTCCATCCATCTTCATTTTATCTACTTATACTTAAAATGGGTTTCTTGTGGATGACATAT